GTTTGGGCATCCCCAGGGAGGGCGATGGCCCCGCTCGGCGCTGAGGGCAGGGCGGGGCCGGGCTGTCCCTATCCCAGCTGCTCCCCATCCTCTCTGGGCTGCTCGTCCCCGCGGGCAGCCCCTGCCGGGCTCTCCCTGCCGTCCTGCTGGTCCCCGCCGTCCTCGGAGCCGGTCTCGTCCGAGTTGTCCTCCTCCAGGTAGCGGTACCCGCAGGGCTTGTGGCGTGGGCGCGGCAGGCGGGGCAGCCGGTATTCCACGCGCCGCGCCAGCTTCCGCTCCATCCACAGGTACGTCCCCACCGCCACCACCAGCGTCAGCAGCAGCATGGACAGCTTGGCCTGCGGCATAGCGAGGTTTGGGATCCGGAGAGCTTGGAACGTCCCAGGGCTGGGCTGGGGCGCACCTGGGGCTCACCTTCATGGGCAGCCCGGACGAGAGGTAGACGGCGAAGATGGCCAGGGCCTGCCACCAGTGGTAGATGGTGAAGATGAAGTCTTGGCGCTCCTTGTTCTTGTACAGCATTCCCAGGAGGACTGCGGCAGAGACCAGAATCAGCGCCCCCTTCCCCTGCCGTGGTCCCCTTGGCATGGGGGACAACGGGACAGCCACAGGGGGTGTGTCCCACAGTGCCAGGGTGAGTGGGGAGAGGACACGTGGAGAAGCTGGGGGCAGCCAAGGCATTTTGGGCACCGCCAAGGCTGCTTTTGGGACCACCACCGGTGATGCTTCGGGGATATTGGAGACATTGTGGGGACCACCAAGGCTGTTCCGTTTTTTTTCCCCCACCACTCACTGCTGATTCCGGTCTTGTTGAGGGTGCTGCCCGTGCCCCAGAGCGCGGCGACGATGTAGAGCAGCGGTGCCTGTGCCTGCTGCCGGGGCTCCGGCGCCCAGCAGAAGAGCAGCACCAGTAGTGCGGCGTGGATGACGGCCCCAGCCAGGAGCGGGATTTGCCGGCGCAGGCGCAGCATGCTCAGGGCCAGGCTGGAGCACGCCGAGGCAGAGAAGCCGTAGGCCATGAGGAGATACGCCAGCTTCTCCAGCCCCAGGGTGCACACGCCGTAGTTCTGCAGCGAGGGCGGGCTCAGTGTCGCGCGGCCCCGCTCCCTCACCCCCCCACACCCCATCCCAGGTCCTACCAGGGAGAATCCGGTGCAGACAAAGAGCACCTCGAAGCCGCTGTAGATGAACAGCGGCAGGAGGTGCTGCAGGCGATAGTCCCGCATGTGCTTGAAGGGCAGCTGGAAGATGTTCCCCCAGCCGATGCTGCGCATGTCGATCTCCTCCATGGGCCGGTACGCGGCGCCGCACAGCACCAGCACCTGCGGAGTGCCGAAGGTGAGGCGCTGCCCTTGCCCAGCCCGGCGCCGTGCCCTCCTGCCCGGCGCTCACCACCAGCATGGCGAGGAAGGCGGCAGCCATCAACGCGCTCTCCACGACAATGAGGTTGACGCTGCGGGGCAGGCTCTGCAGCACTGTCTTGTTGAAGCCGGGCAGCGTGCCGTGGCTCAGTGTCCCTGCCGGGGGGGCACATGCCATGGTTAACCCCAGCAGGGGGGGGGATAGAGGCTCCCGGTGCCTCCTCACGCCCCCGTGGCCTCACCGCAGTGCTTCACTGCGAACAGCGTGTGGTTGAGCTGGTACAGGTAGTTGTTGAGGAAGAAGACCATGGGCATCTGAGCGCAGACGAAGCTCAACTACGAGATGTAGAGGGGGGGCAGGCTCAGTGCTGCCGGTGCGGCCCCCCCTGCCCATCCCGCCCATCCCACCGGCGCTCACGTGGAAGCAGGAGTAGAAGATGGTCTGGAAGATGATGATGTAGGCGTTGCAAGCGTCCCGCGGTGCCCGCACCCTCTCCTGCTCCTCCTTGTAGTTGACATACTCGTAGTACTTCTGGGCCATCCTGCACGGCACAGCAGG